CACCATAATGTTCTGCCATTTGTGTAGCTTTACATGAGTTTCTCTCACTGCAGCTCTCCATCCAAAATGTACAAACACAAAGTTTACAATTTCCCTGCTTTTCTTCCTAGCTTTGTACAAGAGGGCGAGTCCACATCTTCAAATGGCTGGAAATGACAGCGGCAAAGGAGGACAAGAAGAGAGGTGTATTATCCGAAGCCGAATTCCGAAAACTAAGGAAGCCTTCGTCTGCTACAGATTTCAGGTAAGAGGCATAAAAATGGGTTGTGGGGGCAGTGCTGTTTTTTTATTCTCTCTCTTTTTGTTATTTTGTTTTTATGCAATGATTTTTATATCATTTTGATTTTCCCCCGTTCTTTCTTTCACCAGTTATATTTATTATGATTTTTTTTTGGTGTACTTTATTTTATTTTTGTTTTGTTTTCTATTATATATATTTGAGGGAAGGGGTCAGTAAATTTTGTTTGATTTATACTAATGTTATATTACAGGGATATATATATTACTACTGCATTTTAAAGAATTGATAAAGTTGGTGACATAGAAAAAGAATATTAACTTCCTAGAAAAACAACTAAATTTTAAAGAAGAATAATTCTTCAATATAAGTCTTGTTTTCATATTACACAGAATCAAAAGTTTGAAAATGCAGGGCTTTTTATATAATATTAAATTGATATTATGAGTTTAAATGTCAGGTTATATTAAGACAATTAAACTACTTTTATACAGGTATTGTATCTTATATAGATTTTGATTACTTTTTCCCTGTGGGTAAAAGCTTTTCAACTATGATGTCTATTGTTTATAAATCTAATGGATATCCAGGCCAATAAATAATTTGTGTAATTATCTAAACTGTAAACTTAATATCCTAGGTTTTAGTAGCTTTTCTGATTCATAAGAGCACAGTAGTTTGCTACATAAAGATTATTAATACCCCAGCTTCCCTTTTTTATATTAATTGCATATTAATGTAATGTTATGATTTTGTCTGTGCTGTGTAGTGTTGTGTGAGAGTCCTTCCTTTAGCTAACACACGTTTTTTATATGACTGACATACTAGATTTTTGTTCCTTTGTGTAAATGATTAAAAATCCCATCAGCCTCTTCAGTAATATCTGTGTTGTGTTTTTATTATAGGTATTTTTTTGTTATAGATATAGTGAGTGTATTTGATTCTTTTCCTTTTTTTTCTGTGTTACTTGTACTGTTTGCCTGTGATGTAAGCTTAGTAAATTCTTAAGGAGCTTAAGATACTAGCTGCAGAAATAGACACCAACTATGCCTCAATTTTAGGGAAGTTGAGCACACTCCGTCAGAGGTCGTCAAGGAAAGTTTAGATGGTCTGGGGTCCACTCACGGCAACAGTGGGTGGTCGCTAAGTCTTCAGCGTAGTGTGGGGGCCATGGTAGTTGTAGTTCTTATTGCTTATGTAAGTGGTGAGGCATGTTAGTGTGTATTTATTCATGTGTGTGCTGCTAACCATCTAAACTTCATTAACAACTAATCCTGCTGAGGCTTCTTCTTGAACAGCAACCAAGGAAGGAAGGGGGATTAAGATTAAATACAGTTAGCTAGGGAGATTATTGCGTTGGGTCTCAACAGTTAACTTGTAAATAACTATATGTCTTATCAGTGGCTGATTGTCTGATTGCTGTATGCCTCTTAAGAGCGCTGTTTTCAGATGACACATAAATGTCCTGACTGATTTATAACCCAGTCTTTTTTTCTCACTGATAAGACTGCCTCTGCAGTGTTTGGCTTGTACAACATTTGTAATAAGTGATTATAAGAAGATGAATTGATATTCCTGCAACATTGCAGTATATGTAAAACAGGCACTTTGTTGCATAAAGGCTAGATAACCAGTCCCTCCCTTAGTGGGTTGTTACTGGTATGGGTGTAAGAGTTTTAGGTCACCTATAATGGAAATTCAACAAGTTAGGGATGGAAGAGTAATATTTGTGAGGTTAGAATATTGGTCCTTGCAATCTATGTTAGGTTTGGTGCATGAATTTTTTTTCCCTGTTTAAGGGAGTGCATATTGTTTGAGATTGATTATACAGTCCTTTTTGTATCCATCTTCTTAAACTTACTTATATTTAGTTACTTATTGATTTATTCATATTTTAGTCATAAGTTGGATTAGGCCAATAGTTCACATCGGCTGAACGTCTTTTGGTAGCTATCAACCAGTGTTAGAGAGAAACCATAAAGTAGAATTCTAAAGATTTAGAACTTATTCTGAATAATGACTTGTGGTTGCTGTTGTTCTCCTCCGGTTCTAGAGCTAGATGGCACGACTAATACCTGATGACTGAACATTCTGACTCCTCTTCACATTTCAGTTTGCTACACATACATATACATGCATATCTTTGCTTTTACATCCCCATGCACAGTTGTATTTATCAGTTATAATCTGTATAACTGCTCGTTAGCTGTATAAGAATTGTCAGAGGAACTGTTTATGTTTCTAAGGCATTTCTGTCTCTACATCTTTTATCATTTTAATGCAGTTTCCTTTGCTGGTGAAGTAATGGAGGTCCTGCTTAATGCTAGAATGATTTCTTGTCTTTTGAAATAAATGTATTTCTGCTTAATATATGTCAGCAAGATGATGTAATATGATGATGATGATTGTTTTAAAAAGTGTCTATGAATTAACATATATATGAATTGACAAAGTCATGTGCATTTCTTCCTTAAATGCAAAGTTCAAGGTCATATTTTGCTTTAATATTACCCCTCAAATATCAACTAAAGTAATTTGAAATGTTTTTTTATTGCTCCCAAAGGCATTGCTGTGTAGCTGCCTATCTGTCCACAATAGGGCTTACTGTTTAGTGTTCAAAACAGAAATGATATTCACAAATGCACACACATGCAATCAAAAGACAACACAACATACATACTGTTCTTATTTTTAAGTCCTTGTAGTTTTATTGATTTGCAGTTTCATTGTAACCTAATAAATTAGGATGCATATCTATGGACATGCAGATAGGTTGTTTTTATAAATGAAAGGATTCTTTTCAGAAATATAATCTGTTATAAATCACTCACATTTTTCCTTCAAGAGCTTTACAGCCAGAGTATGGCTTAATGCTATTTTTATATATCTGTGTACTTTTTAGTTAGTGAGGTCTAGAAAATGAGTAATGGTTTAGTATTCATCGTGCCATCAGCTATTGTGTGGGGTTCAATATATCTAGTAGCATGTTTGATGATGTTCATTGTCACTATCTTTTGCAGATTTGTCAATGGGTTCTTTGACCCACGCCACAAGCGCAGTACGATGGATAGTGGGTACAGCACAAGTGAGAATGGTGACCAGAGATGGTCACAGGAGAGTCAGGAGGTTTGTGGTCTTGCTGAGATTGTTCCGTGTAAATGGCATTGGTTACTGATTGATTGAGCAGTGCATTAAAGGAAAGGCAAGAATATAAGAATAATTGTTATGTGTAATTAGTAAGCATTCTTTAGTAGTGGTAGAAGTTTAGCATAATACTTTCCCCCCTTCCCCCCATTTTAGAGCCTAGAGTATGAAGATTCACGAAAGCTAGCGGTAATGGCTGCCACCTGTACAAAAGAGCAAAGGCAGGAGAGGGGCAGGAGTGGCCCTCCATCCCGATCAGTCAATGGATTACCTAATGGGGGCATGAACACTGGGGTTAATGGGTCGCAGGGAATGAATGGCTCAGGTTATGGGGCACAACACAGCACAGACCATCCTACAAGTGGCTTGTCAACACCAAGTACACTAAGTCCTGGTGATGGATTCAATTTAGAAGATGAATTCAACAAGGTAATGGAGGTGAATGTGGACAAAGTGGTGCTTTAAACCAGTGTGTGTTTTGCTTTGATTTGATTTTGTTTTTATTGTTGTGCTATATTTTGTGGTATTCCATTGCAAACAATGAATTATAGATTGACTGTTGTATTAGATGTGTCAGATCTTTTATGATCTTTTACAGGCATTGAAACTGAAACAGGACTATGAAAATGTTTATGGCAGTGATCATTCCCCTGTGAAAGAAAGGTAAGTGTGATTGAAGCATATGTAAAAGATGTGCCATTGTGGTCCTTAGCATGTCTACTTCTGAGATTCCTTTACTGAGAAGATAAAGGGTCTAGGGTAGTCACACAACCTAAGGTTCACTCATGGAATTCTTTTCACAGTTGCTTTCTTTGCTCTCTTGTGTTAATTGACTTCATTGATCATTGGATTAATAGGGAAGTGCTGATTTAGGTTAGGGGCAGTTCACTAACAACCATAATATGGCTTTCTCTTGCTGGCTCTGAACTTATCTTGCTTGTGTGGGCTAACTAATAACAAATCATGTTTGAAATGGAAATGTGCAGTAGTTAAGGTGTGACTGTGTGTACCTGGACTGAGTAATAGCATGAGATATATTTTTTGTTAGAAATCATCACCGATTGTCTTGGTTATTATTAAGTATGTAAAGATTTAAACTTAAGATCTGGTGGAAGATTTCCTTTCCAACTAGACATTGAGGTAGGTTTATTCACGCTGTTATTTGCTGTGACTCGTGAGTGTGAATGAGTTGTCTGAGAATTTCTTCAAATCATTATATTTTCATTATTTATATAGAAACCAAGTCCTTGAATGGCGCTGCATGAATGTAGACACCCAATTACTTATTTCCCTTTTACTGGACATCCTCGTTATGTCTTCCACAATTCTTTCCTGAAAGTTTTTGTAATATTTTAGACATAATATTTATATGAATTCAAAAGTATATCGAATGCCAAATACACGTTTCATAGTTTGTTTACTATGCAGAAAGACCAAAAATCTGCTTGACATGCTGAAATGTTTCGGTTTGAACTGTTAATATTTTCGATCATAAAACGTGTCAGATAAAAGAAAAATGCTTCTGTATTTTAGTTTCAGGCAATGCAGAAGAGGCTGGTATACCTTTGGATAGAGATATTTTTGTTTGAGAAGACTGTACAAACCTGCATAATCTTCTGTAACTGTAGACATGCATGAATACTTATTACCTTCTATGTCCTGTCTGCATGAACGTTTAAAGTCTTCAGAGTAATAAGAGTCCTGTAAAGATCCTTCTTGATCTCTTTCTATTTCTCATTGCCCTGAATGTTCCCAATCAGCACATTACTTTGGAAATGAATAGCAAAACAGTTCCCTCATGTTATTCATAGTGTTGATGTTAATATTCCTTGTTTTAAACTGATCATTAAATATATATGATTTTTATTTCCTTCTTTTGACGACATAATGCTTCATTAATTGGAATAGGTTTTAAAACATATCCTTTTTTTTATTACGTGCTTCAGATTATTTTTGACTGTTGTTTTTATTTTATTATTTTTTAGATATTTTGATGTTTACACCCTAGATAAAACCCATTTATCAGATATTCATTCATAACAATGGAAAGGTTGAGAGTGAGTGCGCATGTGTGCATGCTGATTGTGTGGCAATCGATTGTGTTTCAGCAACTCTGGTGCTATTTGGAATGTTGGGAGTGGCAGCCACAGCAGCAGCAGCAACAGCAGCAACAGCAACCACAGCAGCAACACCAACGGGGGCATCACCCTTCGTCACCCACCAGAGCCCCCCCATCCCCTTAACCCTGATCCTGGAGGGGGTTATATCCCCTCCCTTCACCCCCCCTTCCACACACCCCACGCCCACATCCCCACCTACAGGTTGGTGTCCCAGCCTAGCTTCTCTCCTCCTCCTTGGGATTCCTTTTATACATGTTTGTTTTTCACATGTTATAAAGTCCAGAGACAGAGACAGAGAGAGAGAGAGGAAGAACACAGTATTCTCAATATAGTATTTTTTTCTGTATTTTATATTTAAACTTAATATGTAGATAAGGGTTCTTCCTCTCACTCCAAAACCTTTGGATCCATATCTGCTTGAGCAGCTGGTTGAGGGTAAGGCTGTATTAACATACTCTTAACCAATAGCAAGCTACTTTAGGCTTAGCTTACATGGCTAAGAAATAGAAAGGACAATATTGAGAGGATATGCCATGATCTCTTTTTTTTCAACAAGTTTTTATTTTTGGCTTAAAAAGTATATCATACATCCTGCTGTCAGTATTAATTATTTTCATAGATCATTTCATTATCTAAACACCTTTTATATGCCTTTTAGCATTTGCACATTGTATTCATGAAAGTTATTATATTTGGTCAATGCACATTTCAGAAATGTGATTCATTGGTAGTAGTAGTGGTGCTCTGAGTACTAGTAGAATAGTTCAAGTGTAGAGGATACAGTGGGTGTTTTAGATTTCTCTGATGTTTTGCCTCTAAATAGGGGATTGCACTTCTTGGGAGATTGTACGAAAGAGACATTTAGCAGATGAATTTACATTGAAAAATACACTAGGAAGATGTATAATTTCTCTTTCTAAGGCGTAGGATTTGTAAGCTTTGGTTAGATCAAATTGCATGATGGATTATGGCAAGGATTGTATGTGATTTTAAAACATGATGCTAAAATAAGGTTAATATTTGCATGTTAGAGATAAAGAATTTATGTAAGTACAGATGGAATATTTAATACATTATTGCAAGGGGAATTTTAAAGAAGGTAGTATATGTATGTTAGTTTAGGTGGGGTGTTTATTTTGGCTCTGACATTGGGAGGAAGGAGGAAGAATAAATATGGTTGCATGACTTTCTGTGATTTATTGGAGTAAGAAGGGAAATAGTGGATAAGAGACTGTTCTATAGGTGTTTTTTTTTAACTTGTGATAGCATCAGTATTGTCTTGGTCATAATAATTGTTATTGGCATTGTTGGTGTCATCATGGTCATGGTTATTGGCATTGTCATCGTTTTCGTCATCGTCGTTGTCATCGTCACCATCAGTCATCATTCATCATTCATCATTCATCATTTATCATTCATTAATCATTAGTCATTAGTCATCAATCATCTGATATCATCAATCATAACAATTATGCTCATCACTACCACTCCACATCCCTTATCACTTATTATCAACATCATCTTTACCCTCACTATCATAGTCTTTGCCCATTAGCAGATTTGTTGATAATAGGAAATGGTCAGAGGAAGCCAGAAGTGAAAGGGTGGACTGTCCTGAATGAATTATTGCATAGTCAGTCATTAGCATTTTGCTATGGTATTTGAAACTCGCAGTACTGGTAGATTTGGATTATCCAAACGCTCTCTCTAGCAACTGCAAGTATTTGGAAGAGGATATGTTGATAATATTTATGACTTTTATTGCAGGTATATTTTTTATGAGAGAGAGAAAGAAAAAATGTTCTTGTACCCTATCCCCAGAGAATATGTGGAAGCTAAATTGCAAAAACGAGCGATGGAAAACAACAATATCTACAGACGGCAGGGATCAGAAGGGAATTCCCCCACAGCAGAAAATGGAACACACAGATCAGTTGAAAATATTTCCCACCGGAGCGAGATGGCGTCCTATCCTAGACCAAATCCTATGGGGGCGTCCAAACCTCCTTGTAATGGGGTATGTAACATGTATTGTCTTTGCCCATATATTTTGTTTGTCTTTAGTTGATATTTGAATTTTGTAAAAAAAAGTAATCAGGATGTAAGTCTGTCAATTAATTTTTTTTACACTGTTAGGTTAGCACAGTATATTAATTTTGATGGTTATGTAATATTATTTGCACAAGTAAGTTGGATCCACTTTTAGAGGGCAGTATGATATAAGCATCTCAATGTTTCACCATTGTCATTAGTATATTTTGCACAGTACAGATTATACTAGCTGATACTAATTAACAACATGGCATAAAAACAAGAATACATTCTGTGTAGAGCATGTGTTCCCAGTATTTTTTTTTTTTTTTTCAACAGGAAAACCTGTTTGTTACTCCTCTAAGACCTGAAGTAGAATCTGTTGATTGCGAATCCTGATTTATTTTTCTTCCATACTAGTTGTAATTGTTTTTCTTTTGTGAATGGAATTGATGTGTCCTCTAATTGTGTTTTTATAGTTAATCTGCATGGAAAATAAAAGACAGCAACAATGCATCTTGAATCATGGTATTGTCCTTTGATATTGCATTATGAATGAATTATTAAAATGCATCATATTATAAAAATTACATAACATTAGAGAAGTTAGATACATGTTTGCACTCTTGTGTTTTCACCATAGGCTGTAAAAGCAGCATTGAATGGTAATAAACAATTTGACTGAAGCACATATCCTACATGTCAAGACCTCAATGGAAAGGTTTTACAATTCTTCCCTGAATGCAAATTCTATAAATGTTGCTCTCTTAAGGAATGTGAAAGTATGAAATCTTTTATTTCTTTATGTAGCATAGCAAAATATTTGTTTTTAAAAGCTTCTTAAAGTGATAGCTAGAAAGGTGTAGATCCAAGGACCAAAATGGAAGTCTAGTTTGGGTCTCTATCTACTTGACCCCCCGCACACACAGAAAGGGTGTGATGTTATAAAATGCTTCAGTAAGTAATGTGCTTGCAGCTTGATGGGTATTCACAAAGGTTGCCAAGCCAACCGCGACCGCAAGACCTTAGTCGGGAGGATATGACACGTGCCGATGTCAAGAACATTCAGAAGGAAGCAGTGTTGTCTTATGTTAAGGTGAGGTTCTTTATCCTCAACTTTTGGTTTGGTTGGAGGAGGATGTTTTGGATTTGAAATATCATTATATGTTTATTTCTTTTACATTTTTCTTTCTTTCTATTTTTCTTTCTATGTTTTCTTAATAATGTTTTGTGGGATAATGAGTGTAGAGTGTGAAGAATTGGGTTTACTTTTTTTCTCTTTTTTTCCTTCCATTCCTTGGAGAAAATATTGGAGTTGTAGATGATAGTCAATACAAAATTGGAAAGATCTTTGAAAATGCATTTTTACTGAAGTGGAGATTGGCTTTCTAAAATGTTTCTTTAGATCTAAAATATTGGTGATTGTCTTCATATGTGTAAGACTTTTTAAGATTTTAAAATGTATTTAGAGGGAAATAGAGAAAAAACATGAGGCTCAGAGGACACCACGGCCAAAACGCATCAGTCGAGGAATAGCAACACGGACTGATGTCAAGAATTTACAAAAGGAAGCCGTGTTGTTATATATAAAGGTGAGGCCGATGGCCTTTGGAATGCTTGGAAAAAAGCGAGAACCAAGTGCATTTACCTCTTAGCTTTGTTGCTTCAGTTACAGAGGAAGACCAACTTCTGCTAATATATGGGACTTGTTGCCTTTGTGACTCAGTTCATGGGATATGTTTGATAATATTGATATTTGGACCCCATTTTTAATCATTCAGGTTGTTGATTATTGGTTAATTCATAAAGCATAATTGGCATCCTTTTAATTCTCTCTCTTTTTATCAGAATAAACTCAATATCACAATTAATTTGTATCATTTAGAAAATTATAGTTTGTGAATAGAAAATTAACCATACTGTACATGAAGATAGGTTGATGTCCATGATTATGTTACACATAGTATTTGTTCAAAAGCAGTAAAACAAGTGGTTATCAATTATATTACTTGACCAGTAAAAATGTATGACTGAATTTAGTGTTACGTAGTATTTCCATTTAGGTTTATCAGAGATCTGTTAAGGGGATGCCATTTGAAATGCAATAGAAATATCCTTGTTAACTATATTGTAGTTATTGATAGCCAACATATAGGCAAGAGATAGAGAAGAGCTTAGAGAGGCAGTCAGAGTAAAAAGTGGAGATTGGTCATCAGAATCTGTTCGTCCATATTTTTTATTTTTTATTTTTATTTTGTAAATAGTAATTACTCAATGTGGAATTTGCACAGATATGTAGATACACTAGTGTTGTACTGTGCTGTGGATTGTCAAGGTACTTAGACCGGTACTACTCCTACTTGGCATCGGAAGCATGTCTGACGGTTGCTTTGCAAAGTGACGGTTTGCGCCTCTCTAACTGTCGGCAAGTTACTCAAAACAGGATTGCGTGTCTTGTATGGGAAGAGGAAAAATTCTGAAGATGGTAGATGGTGGAGACAAAGTTACTTTTTTTATTGTGGAGTTTGTCAATGGTTTGTATCAATTCTATAATGTATAGTGTTTCCTAAGGAATGCTTTTTGTAGATGTTTGCATTCCATCAGTATTAGATATAGGAGAATGATATGCAACAGGATGTTGCAGGCATGAATTGCATGGATTCAGAATGATAAAGAAAATCCTTGTAGTTGGATAGAAAATTTGTATGTATCTCAAAGCGTGTAATTTGAAGTGTGGTACACATAAAATTTTCTTTTAATTCATATGCACCTTTATTTGCATAACCTTTTCATGTAAGTATTTTATATAAGTTTTGATATATCGCAAGTGCATGCCGGGGAGATTGTAGTTTTATTACTCATTTTTTGTTTCCTATCTTTTCCAGTCTCGTGTTAGCCCTAGCAAGGGTTCAGCCTCCAACTCCCCTGACGTAAGCTTTGACTCTGGGGACGGGCCTTCGTATCCCCAAGTCTCCTCCAACTCCTCACACCTACAACACAATGTGCCACATGCCACCAGCTTCTCATCTAGTCCATACACCAGCCAAAATGTTAGTTACCCCATAAGTGCTCCTCAAGCCTCTAGTACACCATTCACAAGCAGTAATAATATGGCCAACCCATATCCCAGTGCAACCCACCAGAGTACTTCCCAGCCCAGCACCCCACATGCGAGTACGTATGCAAGCAGGGGCAGTAATGGCTCGTTGCCCAAGACACCAAGCACAGTCAAGGCTCGAAAGAGGAGTGGAGGCGGCAGGCCCTTTGATCCTGATGCGTCTCCTGCTCATCTGAACTTCACCTACAGACGGGAGATGGAGAAACAGCAGCATGAGAAGCAGTTGATAGAAAATTTAAGAAATGTAGGTTTTGAGTTGTTCTAAATGTGCATCTGATCCAAAATTTGAAGATAAACCAAAAGAAAAGCCAGGAAAATATAGCAGATCAAGTAAAAAGTAAATGTACTATATCAGGTGACATGAATCACATTTTAGAGTTAATTAACAGGGAAATCATTTGTGCTCTACAGATAATTGAAAGCAGATTAAAGGTGTCTTTGCCAGCTGACCTCTCTGCTGCCTTGATGGATGGTGTTGTGCTCTGCCACCTAGCAAACCATGTCCGCCCGAGATCTGTTTCTTCTATCCATGTTCCGTCTCCGGCGGTGGTAAGGCTAAGCAATGACTGAAGTTTTAATTTTTTTCTTTTTTCTTTTTTAATTCTAACTGTGGTATAGTTTTAAGAATTGGATGATTTGCATTATTTTATCAATATGTATATGTATATGTTTTCACCAGTATATTTTATTCTCCATTTCAGCCAAAATTGACAATAGCTAAATGTAGGTTGAATGTTGAAAACTTCCTTGAAGCTTGCCGGAAAATCGGAGTAGAAGATGTAAGTATCATTTGTGCCTCATCTGTAATTGTTTCGTTATTTTTTTCCTTCTTTTTTTTTCATCTGTATTTTTTTATATTCCCTTTTTTTCTTCCCCTTTATTGTGTGTGTTTTTTTTTTTTTACCTTTTAGTTGCAGTGTGTACAGCATATGTTTCTAGGAGAAGTATTGAAGGTAAAGGATCTAGAAAAAGATGGTAAAAGTTGGCCATATAATAGTGATTATGTTGAAAGATTATATATAGAATTGTAATAAATATAAGTAAGAATATTATGGGACCTTAACAAAAATAAGACTGTCTATGCATACAGTATATGATAAGGAAAAGAAAAATCATGGTGGAGTTATGAAATTAAAGTAGGGAACTTGAGCATAACATTTTTTTTTTTTCACTTTGAAGCTAGTTTTGTATCTTTCATGATAGATATTTCTATGTTGTAAAACTATTTGAGGCAGAGTGTGAAGGTTATTAAACATGAATTATAAGATGATTTTTATACAGCTGATATTAACTGAATAAAAGGTGTATGTTATAGAAGTTATGTTAGCAGTTTGTGTATCAATAGATAAAAGATCTTTCCCTTAAAGATTTCTTGAGATATATTTTGTCATAGTAGTATTAGCATCAATTAATGAGGAACCTATTTCGTAATAAACATTTCTTTTGTTACAAAGAATGTACATTTTGATAATGAAATGCACATAAATGTTCTAGTCTTTTACTTAAAAGCTGAGTGTGACAGAGGAAAAGATTGTTCAGATCATGATTTTAGGGTTTTTGTTTTAAAGAATCATATTACATATAGGAATTAGTTCCATTTTCTGAAATGTGCATCTGTTTGATTTTGTTGAATACTGTACAAAATTTTATTTATGTATATGCATGTAAGATGTGTATGGAATATATGTTATTATTTACCTGAATGTATATTTGTAAACATTATACAAATTTATGGTAAGTGTATGCATTTACCCAAAGGACTATACAAATGCACAAACACTGAAACATGACTAGGCTGTGGAACTATCACTTTTTGGTGTCTTGTACATATTGGTTTCCTGACTTCTCCTTGAAGTGTAGGCTGCACAGTTCTGTGTTTTATTTTTATTGTTTGCTTTTTGCTTTATTTTGCTGGCTTTTCTTGTTTTCTGTTTATATTTTTTTTTGTTTTAATTTATTTTATTTTGTTTTTTATTTTGCTTTGTTTCTTTTTTCTTTTCATTTCTTTTCTTTAAGGTGTATTTATCAAGACTATTGTAAATAGCTTTAATTGAGGCCTAGATATTACAGTACACAAGGTTGGTTAGGTGAGATACGCAGCATTTTTCACTTTTGTATTATATCACCTTATCCATTGATGTTAAAGCACCAGTACGGGACTCAGATTGGTGTCATGCCCTACCTTTCATTTATTTTCTTACTTAAAAAAAGGTTAAATAAAGAAGAGAAGAAGAAAAAAAATTTGGAAAGAAATTACCTGTCTTTATCTCTTAAGAACTTTATAGATCTACTAACCATGGGTGGGAGTAGAGGTTCTGTGCTTTGGAAAAAAGAAAAAGCTTCCGATTTGGAGTAGGGCACATGTGTAGTGTTTGATTCCTAGGATTGTTTTATTTTGTTTTTGTTCTTTTTTTAAAGGCTAGTGCATGGCAGTTTGGATGTCTACTTATGGACAAGCTTCTTATTTCTGTTTTTCCCTTTTCAGTTTTTCTTTTGATTTTCTGTTTGGGGGAAGGGGGGAAATAACTGCTAGGAATGTACATAGATTGAAGCTTAAAAAAAAAAAATGCTGAGAATGAAACAGGTTATAAGGGGTTACCCAGCATGGCACTCAAGCATCTCACAATGGCAGGCTATTCTTTTAAAGGTGAATGTAAGCTTCATCTTCAAAACACCATTGTTTTTTTTTTAAATATCTCACTGCTGGGAGGAAGGTTTCTTGGTTTTTGTCACTTTCTGCATGCACTCAAGTGGAGGGTTGGGATAACTACTTCAATAACACTTATCAGAGCATGAAATAGTGGAGAGTGGGACTAATACTGTATAAAAGATGAAGATAAATAAATTATTCTTTAGTTTATGGCTTTCTTTGGTGCCTGGGATATTTCTGTAGAGGTGAGAGGCCCCCCACTTGAGCTTGTGTTGCAAAGGATTTCCCCCTCCGTCTCACTTCGGCGTTGGTGTCTCTTTACAGGCGCGCGTGTGTGCATGCGACGATATCGTAACCCATTTTGACCCTGAGCGTGTGCTAACAACTGTCCGCTCCTTTGTCAACCCCTCTGAGTCCCTGTCATTAACCAAGTATAATGGCATGGTTGTGGATCAGCCTGATCCTCATGCCCCTCCTGTGGCCATCCTTGAGGAATCCCTGACCTCTCAAGGGGACAGCGAGACTACAGTGCATTCACAGCCGTACCAGGCAGCCGACCAGCGTTTCTTGTCCAATGCGCTGCTGTGTATTTTCCTATCCACTCTTGTGTTACTGTATTTGTATCCTCCTCCAGATGATTAGAGCCACAGTCTTCCCATACATGAAAGAAATGAGAAAAGAAAGTAAAAGTAATCATTCATTAACTTTTTTATATATATATTTTTTTCTATTCATGGTACTGTATTGCATAGGCCTTGCTTTATTTCAGTTGCTTATATGGATTAAGAAACATTGAATTTGAACAAGTATTGTTAAGGAAAAAGGACATTGTCTCCCCATCTCTGGCTAAATTACTTTTAACTGTGCATGAAAATTGCAGTTATCTGTTTAATTTTACAAGACTGTTTTTGGCAGAGATTGGTGATATTCTGTTATTTTACAGCATGGATACCCTTTATTCTGCTCTGCTCTTGCCTGTTTGATATCTGAAATGTTATTTGTTTATATGTCTCAGGTTTATTTTGAGAGCATTTGGAGCTTTAGTTTATATATCTACCTCTTATCTTAAATCAGGTTTCCTGATTCTAAGTGAAGTAAAGTAAAGCGTGGGGAATTACATGGATCTTTCTGAAATAAATAATAATGCGCCTCAGCATATAGCATTTCTGTCAAAAAAAGGTTCTGTTTCTACCACATACACTTGGTTCATTAACCTTTGCTTTCCTGTCATACTCTACTTTCTTTTCTATTTTCTTTCTTGTTCTTTGTTTCGGGCTGAGTAGATACTAATGCAGTATCTTGCACCACTCTACTCCTGTATATACATATCCTCAGTGCATTTCCATAGAGCATGTTTGGTATTCGTGAAGTGTAATTCCACTTCAGGTTAACGAAAGTGCTTGTTATCTTTTTGTTAACAAATGTGCTATGTAATTTTTTGATAAGGTAAGTTTGAGTAATCTTTTAATGAGAAGACAGTTCTTCAGATTAGTGGATGGGAAAGGTGTGCACTCAAGAAAATACTGATAAGGAGTAAATGTAAAAATTGATTGACTTCCACACTGAAATATACAGTTATTCATGCTGAGAGATGCACCTCTACTCTTTCTCTTTTATTCTTTTATCCAAATTTCTTTTATTATGCTTTTTTCTGAACCTTTCTTACCCATTTTTTCCTTTGTTTCCTTTTTTTCTCATC